AGTGACTAATGTAGTGCTGGACAATCCTGAAAATCATCATTACAATAAAAACCAATGAAGCTTAAATGTATGTTTTCCATTTATATTCTACTCTAGACAATGTTCTGGCTTTTTTTTTACCAGTGCCTCACCACAGTTGTTCACATTCAAGAAGGGAATTGATTATTAGAACAGGCCTCAGTCGTTCTCAACAAAAGCCTTTTAGTAATGTGCATGTGATCCACAAATTTGAAAGCCCCATTTATAAATGGGACTGTGTACAAATGCTGTGTGTACATATTGTTCTGCTTTCACTTTTAATAACAAACCAGAATTAGTCTGCCATTTACAATGAGTAATGTGTGGTTAATATGCGTAGGAAAGGGGGCAAGGGGTTCGTAAGCCAAAATCCTGAGGAATATTTATTTATAGTAAGAGATATAATTAAAATTCAGACACATCATATGTTTATTTCTGCTACGAAAATAGCACACAGAGATCTAAAAGGCATCATTTTTAAAACCTCAGCTGTGCTTTAAATCAGATTTAAAAAAATTAAAGGGCACTGTTGAATAATACATTTGGTTTCATTGTATGCAAGAGGACTGAAATGACCAAACAAAAACTGGACACCACAGATCTATTTTAGTAAAAAAAAATAGAGATCACTTTCATACATAATAAACATTTTTAAGGGTTTCAAGTAGTTTACTTTCATGAAAAACTTCTATATTGAACAGAAACTACACCTACTGTACACCTGCTTATGACTGGAAAACTCTGGTTCAGTTTCGTAAAAGGAGAGTGGCCTGTAATTAGTTTTAATTTTGAGGAAAATAAATCTCATGTTGAATCTGATCTTTAGACCTCTAAATAAAATGAGAATTGATGGACACATGACCAAGTCTGATTCAGCTTATTTTGTGTCTGTTTCTTCTACTCTTGGGAGCATATCTGAGCCTTTCCAAAGAAGCTTGAGGGTAACACTTCCTGGAGTTACATTCAGGGAAACTGATAGATGTCTGAAACAGCATGATTCTGTTTTGGAGACCGGCAAGGGCTATTTATCAAAGGTGCCCCACTCATTACATCATAGTGTATGTTGCACAAGCCCAGCTGTTTCATGGAGATGTTGGAGCCCCAGCATCACCACAGGAACTGCACATTTCCTGAATTGAATCTGTACAGAATGTTTACTACAAAGCCAGTCAGGGAAGATGTTTTTGAAGTGTTATACAATTATATTCCATACAATTCTATTTTTGTTAATATTCAGATTTGTCCTCTTTGTTTGGGACATACATTTGGGAATATAAGTCTAAAAACAGACAAGAGGACAAAGGTTTTTGCATTTTATATCATCACAAGATTTGTATTTATATGTCACAAAATGTTATCCATTTAACATTTTTCTGTCTTAAACAGAAAAGTAATCTAAATACACCTACACCCCTAAAACAGCTTGTTTAGTATAAGGTTTTTATATCCTTGCTTAGTTGACCAGTCATGTGATAATTTAAGATACATATATGGAAATTAATTTTGAGCAAATTAACATTTTTTCACTTTGGCAGCTAAGGGTGAGTTGAGAATTGGCACTCTTAAACATTACATTTTTACTGTGCAACAAAATCCCGTTATAAACTCTCACCCTTTAAAGGTAATAATTTTGTTTAAACAAACATTCATGCCAACTAACTACTGTCCTAGTAGTAGAAAAATTCTCCATTTCAGTTATAACTGTCAATTTTGCCTTTTGTTTTGCCTGTGGATTGATGAAAAAGATAAAGTTACGTACTTCGAATAACCTTTGAAGAACTGTGTTGTTAGGGATATTATCAAATACTTGCATTTAATTTTCAAATCTTAGTGTATCATGGCTATGTTGATCAGTTTGTATTTAGATTACTTTTCTGGTTAAAACACAAAAATGTCAAACTTTGTGAGATGTAAGCACAAGTTTTGTGATATTATAAAATGCAAAAACCTTTTTTGTCCTCTTATCTGTTTTTACATTTATATTCCCAAGAGCAACATATCTTAAATTGCTAAGTGCCCCATGTTTTGGATAGTTGAACAATTTAAAACAGGTAAACTGAAACAACACAGAGAGATTAAAAGATTGGTGGTTTATTGCAGTATTTGTGCACAGCAAAAATATAAAGTTTGAACTGTCCTACAGTTATTATAGATTTTTAACTTTTGTGGCCTAATAATTATATTTCACTGTGTAGGTGATGTATTTGTCCTGACAAGGTGCAGTTTACCCAATACTCTTGTCTGTGTCTTTAGAGGAAGCCAAGCTCAAAACCTTTTAAAAAAATAAAAAAGAGGACAGGTAAAATCTTTTATGGACATCATTGGATTTTGTTTTATATTGAAGACAGGATTTACAAATATACATTTGACTCATTATTTGCATTTTCCTCTTTAATACTTTTCTTAGTATTGCACTGTTGGTTAATGCAGGTAGCATATTTAAAGGGAGCATCTCCATTTACAGAAATGTAATAAATGAACTAAAAACACAATTGTTTTTTTAAATATTAGATAGATGTTGAATTAAAATGTTTGGAAATATCTTTTGATACTTCACTGAAGATGTGTTTCTTAATATCCGAATGATAAAGATACAAGGTGGATATTTTTATTAGATTTGTATTAGGAATTGCCTGAAGCTAGGTTTTTATTAATTTTACTTTAAAAGTCTGCTTTCATGAAACAATATGTTTAACTTCATAAGAAAAATCATAAAATGCCATGGAGACATGATCATTTCAATCACAGATGCACCAATAAGTTTGACAATATAGAGTTTGCTTAAAACACAAGTGAAGAAGGCCTAGAAAGCACAGAGATGCTCTTATGTTATAATTCACACGAAAGAAAAGGAAAGCCACCAGGAAAAAGGTTTATTGGCAGAGGAAAGATTGCAGATGGAATTTTGGACCAATGGGTATTGTAGAAAGTGAGCATAATTTAAATACAGCAGACAAAAATACAGGAGGCTGTTGTTCTGAATAATAGAATTTCACATTATTTGAATAAAAGAAATTCTTACAGAAGCTTTAACTCTCTTGGGCTGTCATTGCTATATATAATGTCTTACAGAGTAGTATCATATGGCAGTCCAAAACTGCTTTTGTCTTAAATGAAAAAAAATCCCAAGATCTACATGTCATGTCTGAGAATTATAACAGCTGCGTTTTTGCATGTGTGTGTGTGCACGTTTGTGGGTTACAGATTTCTTCTACGAGACTTCCGGAAGTGTATTTAAACCTAGATTTACATTAAATTTCACTAAGATTAACAAGAAAATACTTTCTCTATCATTTACAATCACAATCCAGCAGAATGGTAGTTAGTAGTTCAAAAAATTAAATGAAAACAGGCATTTTATTTTATTTTTATTTTATTATAGGCTTTGATTTGTAGCTGGCTACAACTGTTGATTGAAGCAGAGTTATTATGGGGTCTAAAATGACTACTATTAAGGTTTCATATTATTCAATCAAGTTTAACTGTGTTTTCTTCCTCTTTTAACTCAAGACCAGGCATCTACAGACTCTTTGAAAGCTTAGCTCAAGGAAGCTCAGTTTCACTCTGTTGGGATGAAATTTAAATTACTGTTTCATTAGACAGAAGATAAACAGATATGCATTTGTCCTACGTCTCTGAGTGGTAATATAATATAATTTTTTTTTATTTAATTTAAGGACAGATATATTTTTGTAACATATGTGGCTCACATCTGTTAATCAGCTCCTTTTGATTCCACTGCCTTGCTATCACCCCAGTCTTGCACAATACAAGTATTCAAGGACTTCATTTTGCTCCTGTCACTAATAGTTTCTCCTGTAAAAATCAGAATCAGAATCAGAATCAGAATCAGAGGAAATGTAGTTCTTGCTTTCTGACACCCATGGAAACTAACGCCATCAGGTTCTGTGGTATATACAAAGAACATTTAATGCTATTTAAAAGGAAAAACAAAATTATTTTAAGGAAAACTGTGATATCTGAAAGCTGAAACAAACTAAGTACCTTGTTCCATATTTAACTGCTTTGCTCTCATTTAAAAAAAGAAATCCTGTATTTCACTGCTTTGTGTTTAAAGTTTTACAGTGTGTGCTTGAGACACAAGCCGATAAAGTATATAGATTCGGATTCATTTTAAAATATCATTCTCAAGCTAACATTAAACCTCTAGCTATCTTGTAACAGACCCAATTAGGTGGAAATTTGAGAAAGCCAGGGAACCCAAATCCATAACGGAATGGAAATGAAGGATCTGTATGAAGAGTTTTGAGGAAATGAGGGTTCAGGCAGGATATTAATTCAGTTCTTGTATAATATGTTGGTACCATGAGATGAGGTTGCCATTGTCTCAAGGTCAAGTCATTTTCTTTTGTTAATCATTTTTATTAGCCAATGAATCTTTAGATAAAAAGGGGACTTTTCACCTCTTTAGACAGTTAGTTGATTGATTGATTGAAATAGATCGAAATATTTATTTTTATGCAATTTCATTTTATTTAATGCAGGTATTCATTTATATGTTGCATATATAGTATTAAGGCTTTGCAACAAAATGTAGATGCAGTGTTGTTCCAAAAGTACTGGTTGTAACAAAATAAATAATCAAAGACAAGTTTAAAAACACCTTAAAAACATCAGTGGCACTCTAAAACTAAAATACTTCAGAGTCGTTTATGAGACAGGTAACTTACCATATGCTCAGTAATTCTACTGATAAGATTCTGACTCTCCTTGGGAACAATAATCAACCATCTCTACACATTTTTTATGTTGTGTTGTAACAAAAACAATAAATAAGTAGCTCATCTAAGCACAACAGAGTAATGAAACCTCACTTCAAGAACAATTTTTAAAAGACGGAAGATATTAGCCTCTTAAGAAAATATACTGTAACTATGCCCTCCACTACTCCCTTTAACAATGCAATATTCAGGATAGATGTTTTCATTGGAGAAATACAATGTACTTCTTTGTCTTGCCAGCAAACGCCATGTATATGGGAAGCCAAGAAATGGTACAAGTTTTGGACAGAGACAATTCAACCATAAAACAACATTTGGACAAGGTAAGAAATAAAATGTTTAGTTCTTAATTAATGTACGTGTACTTAAATCCATCGCTTATTGTTATCTGTTTAGTTTCAATTAAATGAATAGATATTGTACCAGTTCAAAGCTATCTTTGCAGGTATGCAAGTTATGTGTGATGCATAATGTTTCTTTCTATAAGGTGTGGTGTAGGTGTAGTCTGTTATTTATAACTGTCCTACCAATAGCAACACTATTTAAATCTCATTTAAATTAAGATTGACTTCCTGTAGACCATAATCTCATCTCTAGTTACTGCATCATTGTTCTTGTGATGCGAAAACTGATGCTTTATCTTTAATCCTTGATTTTTGCTTGATAAATACAAAAAATGGGTTTCTCTTCCCCTTTAGTAATTGTGGTTTTATTAGGAATGGGAGGGGTGCTGTCTTTGGCTGTAACTCTTTACAAAGGTCAAAAGGTTAATTTTCTTGGTAACCTTTTGAATAGAAGTGATTCAGATACGCTGGTGATAGCACAGGAGCACCCAGCCATTAAATAGCTTACAGCTTAATTCAGCAAAGAACCTAGGGCTAGTGTTTTAATGGTCTGTTGTTTGTTAACCAGTTCCCTAGTTCATTGAACGCCAGCATAGAGGAAGTTGTCTGAGTCACTGCCACTTGAACTATGACTCTGTGAACAGACAGGTGACAGCTGAGAAGGTGTAGGAATAGTTCCGGACAATAAAGCGTTTTATCCTTAGTATAAATGACTTTCCTGTTTTCCTTCCCATATTCTTTCATCTACCCATTCCATGCACTTTTCATTAGGCACAAAAATGTGCCTAATGGACACACTGATATTCAAAATAAGCACAAGGCACAGTTCGTGGACTACTAATTTCTACTAATACTAATGTATTCTTGTGCATCAGGTTTGTTAGCCAATTTTTTGGTCCTTAGTGGAAAAGCACAAAATTCAGTTTTCAGGGTTTATTTCCTTTTCTGCATTGTAGAGTTTATACATGTACATAAGTATGAGTAGTATACTCACACAGGCTGTGTGACAAGTGCTTTGTGGGGCAAACCACAAATCTAAAGACAACAGCTGGATACACACTGGTATCTTCATGATACAGAGTATGAAAAAATTAAAGATTGATGTTGCCTCCATTCATGGTCAGGCTGCAATGAATAATGGAAAAGAGGTGACTCAGATTTGCCAGACTGCATCTGAATGAAAAGTGGAGCCATGTTGAGAAAACACTCATTTCCACTGTGAAATATGATGGCGGTTTAACGTTATTTGGAGTTATTTTGCATCTACCTGTCCTGGAAATGTGAGCGACACATATCAGGACATTTTGGCCAAATACAGTGCCTTGCGAAAGTATTCGGCCCCCTTGAACTTTTCAACCTTTTGCCACATTTCAGGCTTCAAACATAAAGATATAAATTTTTTATTTTATGTG